AAGGAATGTACCTAAATCAATCTATTCTGCTTTGGTTTCGCTACTTACCTCATACGTTTAATGTACCTTGCCCTCCACATGGCCGCCATTCCTGTCAAATATGCACATCTAACATTTTTTTGTCTGGGTATACTTTTATGTAGACACCCTTATAATACATTTTTTAAAGTTTGTTTTTATGAAGAAGTTTTTAATTTCGTTTGTGAAAAACATTCGTTCTTTTGTACGATTTATTCTCCAGTTCGTTCTTATACGAGATCTATTTTACAATATGCTTCACTTTCTGAGGGTATATGCAGGTGTATATGTACTCAATGACACTTTCGGGTGCGGAGAGGGTCTGTAGGCATTGATACCATTGCTCGAGTGTGATGGTCGCACACGAAGACGCCGTAAGTGATATTGACAACAAAACATTCAAAGGCTAAGACCTGAACGGTTTGAGAATTTGAACACCAATTGTTACTTCAGATATATATATATATACTCAAAAAAATATATTCGCAAAGGATGTCATACCGAGACAGACATAATAAAAAGGATAGGCCTAAGTGGAAAATTGCTTTTGTTAAATACAGGTTTTGCTGGCCGAATTTATCATCTTCGCACACGAATTAGCAACAGTTTCATTCAAATTAGCACGAAATAGAGTGACGATCTACATCACCATTCAACGAGCAAAAATGATCATTCAATTTTATTCTAAGAGCATGTGATTGCACAATCATGTTATTAAAAAAGTGAAGGGTCAGCATTCAGTTGGAAAAACACACAAAAAGCGTTCAAATTCGTGTGGATACTCCTGCAGTATGTGTTTTGGCGTTCAATTTCGTGAATCGACAAGCATTTGTGAGATTCGTGCAATATTATTTATTAAATGTTAAATCCTCCAACTCTTTTTTTTTCTTTGCGAATAATTTATGCAAAAATTTCATGAAAGGAAACATTTGGTTCACGGATAGAGATATCTATAAAAATAACGATTTATCAATGTTTATTTGCTAATTTGCTAATATGTATTTTCTGTTTGAATTATTATGAAAAGAATGAATAACAGCGAAGTAAATTTATTTATATCACGCAAATTGACAAAATGGGGGGATTTCTTAAAAGGGTGAGAAAAATAGAATAAAACATGAAAGCCAAACACATTGCTTTAAAAATGTGAAAAATAGAACAAAATAAGCCACTGTTTAAGACAATTCTAATAGTCTTAGCATACGTGCACATTTACGGAGAGAAAGTTCGTTTCTTGTTTAATATAAAATAAAGAAATTACAAATCGGTAAATTGCATCAAAAGGATTTTTCTTTCAGCATCCGTGATGAAGGCCCAGGGAAAGTTTCGCTTCAACATTTCGATTAAACAGGCAATAAGTATTGGAGCAAATGCACCGTATTCTTGATGTGTACTTTGAGACATATGAAAATATACCTTGAGTCTATACGTGGGACATACTTCTAACGTGTTTTTAATTTGTCATCTTCCTTTCTTGTTGTTATACGCATCTCAGTTGCCGTATGTCCCTGTGAAGTTGAGTTATCCATTTTGAAGGCTTAAGATGCGAATATGATAATTGCCCATATATTGACGAAAACGAAATTAAAATTCGGGAGGAACATCTCATTCCAGTCACCCAGTGGGAAATTGAATGATAGTTTTGCACTGTTCAACGGAATGAAATTAGTTCTAAATTGAATTTGCTACAGGTTATTCGACTGTGAAGATGACAAATTCGGCTGGGAAGACCTATTCAGTGATTTGTCTGCAGCACGGTCGTATAAAGTCGACAGAAGCCTTTGCCGATTCTTGGCATAGGCCTGTCATGTATTTATTTGGTACAGGCTATTCGACGCCTGTAAACGAATTTGAGGCTCTTCTGTAAGAAAAAGAAACAAGGGAACAACCAGCTGGAAAAAAACGCTGGAATGCGAAGGAACAATAATGAATTTGACTGTGAAGATGACAAATTCGGCTGGGAAGACCTATTCAGTGATTTGTCTGCAGCACGGTCGTATAAAGTCGACAGAAGCCTTTGCCGATTCTTGGCATAAGCCTGTCATGTATTTATTTGTATGAATGCCGTTCACATAATTCGTATATAAACTCGATTCTGTCGTTAAAATGACGTGCTGTGACGAAATGAAAACACTGCGTGAACCAGATAAGGTCCCAGATTGGACTTCAAAAAGCTTTTGCAGGCTAATGGCCACCAAAAAATCTAGGGATTTGGCTTTAATTATCTGAGCAAGAGTCTCGTTACTAGCATTGTGAACAAAATTCACTGCTTTCAAATAACTACCTCCAGGGCTATTAAAACTATATCCCCATCTCGGACAAATAGTAACGGCAGGTGCCAGTTTTGACTCACCAAAGGTCAGAAGGCCAAAGCCGAGAAGGAAGCTACTGACGAGGCCAGCTACTGTGGTGCTGGTGGAAAAGCTGTCTACAAAGTGGGGGATCAACACCCCCATGGACTTGAAGCTACCAAGGCACATGAAGGTCCAGAAGAAACGAGAGAACAATATCATCCAACGCCAGGGGTGGTGAAAATGTGCTGCGCTCTGCTCCTCCATTATGAGTTACGGAAAACCGACAGGTTGGACAAGGTGCTGTGTTGACAGGTAAAGACTCGACTCCGCTACACATTTGGACAAAACTTTTAAGTGAGTGAGGCGTATCAGAGGGCATTTGTCATTTTGTCCACGCGGTGGAAAAAGAAAACCTCTCTCCCAAATTCGGAATGAGAATATACTGAACTTTCTCCCACACACAACACCCGCACGTATAGTGAGCACTGAGCTGTGTACACAGAGAACAGGGAGACTTTGATTAAGGTGTTGGCCTTGTCTGCTTGCGTATAAAAGCTGTTGACCTGCCGATTATAAAAAAAGATCTCCAATAATACTCGCAACGTTACATGTGTTTCCTCCATGCGCTGACCAACCCGCGATGCGGACTTGCCTTGTGTTACTGTGATGTATGTGTCTACGGCCAAGTTGACCTGTCGCCGGACAGGCTGGACATAGCCAGGCCCCGTAGACAACAACATTGAAGGCCTCAATTGAGGTTCATTGGTCACCTAGATTTTACACACCTAGCGTCCATTTTGTGTATCACTGTAATTGAAAATATTTCACTATATTTTGCTCAGGTGATTCCACCGCCATGGGTCAATTCTCTTCCCTGATTAATGGACTGCAGGGACCGCCTCGGGCAAGGCTTAGTGCGGTACAAACGGCAACATTTAATCTAAGTCCCATCGGCGAAAATTCCAGTGACGTATAAGACGCCATGTCCCCTCTCCACCTTTGGAAGAGATGATGGGCAATGTAGACCCCCCGTTTTTGCCCTGAGCAAAAAAAAAAAATGAAAATCCTTACAGGTTTGCTCAGGCATACGTTTTGGGTCTCGCACAGTTTCCAGCTCCACCCTCCACTCTCAGTGGTTGACGCACGTCCCCCACCCACTAACACAGTTTTACGCCACTTCAAATAAAACCTAAACATATGAGACATTAAAGGGGATGGGCCGTGCTGGGAAAATATTTTGTAAAACATGCGTGAACACATTAAGCAAATATATATAACAAGAAAACACATCTGCATAATTTCAAAATGCGCGGAAATATGTTAAAAAAATTATTGTGTTCACGACCCTCTTTCACTCCCTTCTGGGAGCAAAAGCTAAACAACAGCCGTTGGGTACAGAAAGTTGTATGAAGAAATTTCCTAGAATCGTGACGTCATAGGACGCAGTCCTTTATCCGGTGACTGTTTACTGTTACGCAACGAAGCGTCGACATGTGCGTTATGTAGTAGCGTTAGCGTGTGTCAGACTCAAGCGACGATAATTCCAGCATCGATGCTTTTTCCGATCATGGCAGCAATCAGTTGTCATGTTTGTCTTATTTATTTGACGAAGAAAGCGAAGGAGCTGATGAGGAACAAGAAATATTGTCTTGTCAGTTCGAACCAGAATACACTCGAGAAGAGATTTTGCAATTCGAGGCTGTTGGCCACGGGCATGGCGGCGACCCGGATGATCAACAACCAAGCACTGACTGCATGGTCATCATTTTATTTTTCCTGCACCGTAATAGAAATTTGTCTTTCTGAAAAGAAGGAATTGTTCCACCATCGGTGATTCGATAGCTGTATAGTAGAAGAATTGTTTTTTGGTCCATGGTTATAGACTAGCCTATTTCGCCAAAGTTGGTGTTCAATTCCGACAATCTTTTCACCGTGCACTGCAAGTCACTTGTTTGGCATCGACGCGAACGCGTGAAGACCGTACGGCATTAATTGCACCAGAAAGTAGTCTATGTGCGCCAGTGCAATATAGTCCCATTTGACATCGTTTTTGCGTAGTACATGTATTGGTGTACATGTACATGTCAGTACTGGTACGTGTACATACATGTAAACATGCACATGTATTTGGGAATTTTGAGTCCTCGTAAAAATCTGATTGTGTGTTATCCACAAATCTAACCTACAAACGCTGGTGTGAAAAGTTGCTTGGTAATCAACAAAAAATTGCTCTCCGGGAATTGTTTTGATTGCGACAACAACCACCGACAATACACTTTATCGGCATTCTTTCGAAATTCTCAATTCACTATAGAAATTATTACACATGTAGGATTTGATGCAAAACAACATAAACGTGACGCGTCAAGTTAGTTGTCCAATAGCTCTGCCTCGTGTTAAGGGAAGGGCATGGGGAAACAAGACCAAATGTGGTTGACTTGACACGTACAAGTTGCAACCCGACTACGCGTCAGAGCAGAGAAGATTATTCCTGCGCGGACCGATCAACTGTCTTGCCGGAACTATGCATTCTTATCTGGAAAGTCAAGTCTGTCCAATGACGTCACATTTTTGCCTAGATTTGTCTGCTGCCCTCATCGACCAATTTCGATAAGTTTTTGCGAAGAGCCCAGGCGAAGACTGAAAAAAGCACAAAAAACGCCAATTTTTGCTGATTTAATAAAATAAAAGATGGGTTAGTCTAACTTATTGTATATAATACGGTTGAAAACTATCATATAACATCAGTTTTGCCCTACATGGCCCATCCCCTTTAAAGGTACAGTAATGAAAAGTGAGTGGGCAGACAGTAAAGGAACTTCGAGTAACATTAACATGTTTGAGTGAACACAAACACGACATTATATAGAAAAATCTTTGCCAAATACTTTAATCTCCCTCAGACTGAGACATTACAAAAGCCTGATTAATATTATGGCGTAAAGTAATACCGGTAAGAAAAAACAATGGAAGCATCGATTCTGACATCCAAACTTGAATGAGTTGGCCCAAAACTTAAGTGCGTTTATGGCAGTAACCGCGTGATTGTTCTTGCTATAATGTGGAGTAATTTTAACGACTTTGCTAATGCGATATTTGCCTGAAGGCAGCTTTCCCAAAGCTGTTGGCCAGAAAATACCACATGGTGACTTGGTCATTAAACTTCCAATGTTTCCATTTGTTGTCATTACCTCTGGACAAAGGTACACAAACATATGCATACAAATGGTGAGATGGCTTTGGCCAAATAAATAGGGATGACTGCTTTGTAATATATACTGGAAAAAAGTTGTTTCAAATAAAATGCACAAACGAATGTGGTAATTACCTGCAGCTATTGTTTACCACCCAAGGAATATATGAACTTGAAATCTACACATGTACAAGTAATACGGCCGTTTCACAATAGAGCGCCACCAAGAGTTTGCAACGCGTTGGCCAATCACGATGCGCGAAATTTGTCGACCCAATGCGCGTTTGGAAAGGGTCGACAAATTTCGCACGTTATGATTGGCCAACATATTGCAAACTCTTGGTGGCGCACTATTGTGAATAGCCCGTGTTGTTACCTAAAATCTCATGTAACTACTATAATATAACCTTTTGCACTACGCGACAAATGGTAAACATAGTATGCCGTGAAAAAAGAGAAGACGCAGATGATTAACAAACTCACCCACTGGAAAACTCCTTAAACTCAAATCTATTCCCCAAACTGTAGGAGAGTCCGGGACGACAGAAAATCCTGAGACTCAGCATAAGCCTACCACCTGTTGAGCAATGTTCGATGGGCTTCCTTTCCTTCGTTCTAAAAAGTGATAGAATAAATACCTGGTGTCAGCGAAAGACAAGTGTTACCCTTCGCCAAGAAAACCTGTCCAACTCTGGTGGCAACCGTAGTGAATCGTTGCCACATACACATACTGCAAAGACAGGGACACTGACTTTTGAATTTTAATTTGTTTACTAATAGGCTAAAGCAGTTTTGTTGTCATACAGGTCGGACCATAATGAGTTTGTTTCCGGTCGTTATGCCCCCCTCGAAACAACTCTAACAATAAAATACATAGCTCAGTATGTTCCCGGTCGTTGCACCGCCACGGAACAGTAGCACAAACTCGAAATCATGATATTCCATACATAGCAATGTATGTTCAACGTCGTAAAGCCCTCACGGACCTGTTTTAAGTTTCCGGTCGTGATGTCCCCCACGGAACAACAGCACCAGTCAAAATTATGGCAAGTTCCCGGTTGTTAAGCCCCCCGCGGAACAGCGACACATATTAAGTCATGATATAACTATGTTCCCTGTTGTCATTCTCCCCGAGGAACACTTTCATAAGTTATAATCCATACTAATCATTTATAATCAATTTAAGTTTCCCGTCTTTTAGCCCCCGCGGAAGAGTGCCACATAAAATCTGTTATAACATGTTGCCACATCCTGAATATTTCATGCCATGCATATCTGGACCAGAAACGAATATCAAACTAAATTCCCTCGGGAAAATCGATTGCAAAATTAATATCAGACAATACCCTAATTCAGTAAGCGATTAGAAGAACACATTACAATAAATACAGTAAGTTTGGGTTCAAAGAAACCTCGCCCGAGGTCTATTCTGGTGTCAAGAAAGCAATTCGGCAAAATTCAAGGACTCAATCCTGGGAGAGGCGAAAATCTCCGTAAAAAACCCGATATTGTTTTCGCTCTGACAATGTGTATCGAGGATAAAGGAGGTAATTCTGCTCCGGCCCCACTTCGTTGGGCGACCGAGCAAAATGCCCTTTTTTAAATGGCAGTCTGGTGGTATGGTGTGTCTCACAGGTGGCTGAAAGGGGAAGAGATGGGTTTATCTGAAAAACTACTCCAATGAACCCAAAAATGCAAACCGTCCGACTGACGCTACTGCTAAGACGGATTATTTCATTTCTCAGGACACCCAGGTCTCCACATTCCAATGACCTTGCCCAAATAATCTGGATCGTTAAATTATATAGCTACTGACTTACTCTGGGGAAGCAAGGCTATAATTCTCTATAATATGAGAATCTCTGCCTCTCACACCAAAGGAAGCCAATTGTGCAAGCAGATACCTGGGAGTTAAGAGCTCGATGTTGATAACATTTTCCGTTGTACACTGCCCGTTATGCACTGCCCGTGAGTAGATTCTGTCTCTGTTGCTGCCAAGTGCTACTCGCGTTAAAGGCTCGTCGTTCTGATGTGCACTTTACACAACAATCACAGTACATCTAGTACCTTATCTGCATTATGGGCACCACCATCCGAACAAATAAAAGAATACAATAAATAAATTTACAGCAGAAGCATACGCAAGTGCATGTGCACATACTAGAGCCTCCCTTCCCCTGGGTGCAACACTGAATACGGGGAAAATAACAGTTGATAAATTTTGGGAAAGTTATCAATTTTGGCTATTTTGGGGGCACGAACTATCTCTGAATAATGCATAAAATATAGATCTCATACAGATGTTGAATAAGTTTGACTTTGTAATAGGCCTATCAAAAATGTCACTATAATTATTTCTCCCCCAGTACACAGCAAAACAGATGTAAATCCACAGTTAATCTCCATATTTTTAGAATAACGCAGTCTGTTCGAATCTTTTCGTAGAACAAAGTCAGTTTCCGTGTGGATGCTTATGTTGTTTTCTACGCAATCATTTATATCAGAGTCCTTAATGAGTCATTTACTGTAGGCCTTTACGGTCTTTTGCCTTAAAAACTGCATTATCCATGGAAAAAATGCCGTTTTGAGAGAGTAAAAGTATCCCTAAATTTTATTGTAGGGAACCGTACCTGAGTAAGGGCACCCTCATCCTTCCAATACGCGTCACGGAGGTAATTAACATAAAGTGGATACTTTTGTCACATAGGCTTCCCGAGCACGCCGTGTGAATGTAATCTCTTTGCTTTTGGTCTCGAATGTAGAACTGTACTCTCTGCATTTTGCTTTTATTACTTTGCAGGGAGCATGGCTTTGGCCATACTACTAAGTGTGGGAGAGAGTTAGTGCTAGAAACCCCAAGTAAGTTCTTATCATTGTATAAATACTTCACACGATCTTCTGTCGGAGAAATTGTACGATTTACGGGGCCCAATGTGGTAACTGCTTTCTGCTCTACAACGTGCCACAGTGTAGTGGTTAGCTAGCAGTGTTAGCCTTTATATTTATCTACGGTGCCGTCTAGCCATTACACCACACCAACTGTTTTCATATTTAATAAATTGTAGTTCTGGAGTTAGACATCATTCATTGTTCACGTGTTCTTCAAGTGCTCGTCTGCTTTAATTAGGGGACCGTTCCTCCTTCCTCCCACTGTCCAACTGACGTGGGACTGGTCCGCTACATTATGGTAGTTCCTTTTAACAATGTATCTCAAAACACATTACCAGCACACTGTCGTAGAAGTTGGTACCTCAATACTTCTACACAAACACCCCTCGCACAAGGGGTTAGTAGTAAGGAAATAGTCGGTTCAACGCCACCGTTCTACGCCACCCCCTTTTCCACTCTGTCTCCTCCTCTCTGCCGAGGTTTCCCAGTTCACTCACCTTGACCTTTGGCCCCGGCGCACTTTTTGTCAACAACTGGCGACGACTATTGCGCGACGATGGCCTGCGGTGTAGGTTTTGATTTGCTGTCTGTTTCCAATCCATACGTGTCGGCTGTATTAATTTTCACGTATATTATACGGTAGGAAAAATATTTTACGACTGCGTAATGTCCATTCCAAGCGACGACGTATTTGACGCGTTACACAACAATTACGATCATTGGAAGTTTACAGACACGTGTCTTTTATACGGAGTCGATCCGAGTAAATCGTATAAACAAACTCGCGATAAGGTATCAAACGGATTAGGCACTGCTTATTATTACGACAACGGTTACGTACCTGTCCCTAATAAAAATTATGATGCACATGATTTATACGTCACCAATGGTAAATACGCGGGGTCTACTTAGATGGGCTTTGGCTGGGCTGATCAACCTAAAGGCTCGGGTCACGCGAGTACTTACACGGTCAATTGGATTTCACAGTCGGACGCGGTCACTTTGGTCTGGTGGGATTTCATTCCTAAAAAAGAGTAGCTTGACGGACGAGGGCGTTACAAAGGTAAATGAGTCTACTATGGCTTACGTGTATGCGTTACTCGGTGCACAAGCACAAAAAAGACTAGCGTTTTGGCCACTGGCACCGGATCAGACGCGCAACGGCAATTTATTACGATCGTGGAATCTTTAATTAATTCAGCCCCGATCTCGAACAGTCGATTGACCAATTTCAAGATTCGTTGCAATACGCCAAAACGCCTTTAAATTTTGTAGTCGCACCGGGGTTATACCTAGTGCCCTCGGACATGGACTTACTCATCGGCACTTTTGAAGGTTACTAGAATAATTTACAAATCGCGACTGCAGATATGAGGGCAGGTTACGTAAAGAATTTTAATTTGAAGGCTGAGGTTAAAGATGATTTTGCCGGTGAAGTGGAAGAAAAAGTACCTGAACCAAGGCAATCAGAACTTTTACCCACTCAACCAAAGCAACTGGTACCAGATAAAAAACCTTTAGACGTACACAACGAAGAAAAACTATCGGAGCCATTCCGTAGGTGGTCTCGATTTTATGTTGTATAAAGTATTAACTTAGAAAACCCCTTCGCAAATTTGAGAAGGGTTTTTTTTGCCTAAAATTATTTATTAACCTTTTTTTGTTTTTTGTACAAAAGTCAAAATTACATAACCTACCGCTAAAAACAAAGTCCACACGTGATCTGCTACCCATCCAACCGCTTTACTAGCTACGTTGAACAGCCAACTTAAAACGCTACCAATGATTCCGGGCAAAGCGCCTAAAGCTTTCAACCCGAGTTTCTTCAACACGTTTGACAAATTTTGCGATTGCCTTTTGATCCAATCGGTTACGCAACCTTTGGACGGTAGTTCAGGAGGTTATGGCGCGGGTTCTTGCGTAGGCGTTCCGGCAGCCCTGACGCTAGCTACGATACTACTGACGATCGTACTTACGGCTAGTGAAAAAGCTGTTAAAATGCTTACTATCGTGACGCCTTATTCCCTTAACAACGTAATGTCAAATGCGAATTCATGACCTTTTCAATTGTTTCCTTAATGCGATTAATTTGGCTCCTTAATTGATTGGTGTTTCAACCTATTGAATTTTCGCGTCTAACTGATCTTATTTACCTTGATTTAAAATTAATTCTCCTTTTACCGTTTGTAACGATTTATCTAAAGCGACGAGTTCTCTGTAATTTAACCCTTCTGTTGAAGTCTACACCTCGTGTGAGGTCTTCTGCGATGTCGCTCGCTAGATCTGCTTCTTGGGGCAGTTCTACTAATTCTATGCTCTCGGGACGAAGTTCTGCGAGTTTAGGAGACACAAGGGCGGCTTCTTCTTTTGTTTTACCAGAAACGTAGTCGCGTAAGGTATTTGTTTTTTGCTTGATAGTATTTAGGCTACGAAATACTTCACTATTGTTTTCCCAGGTTAAGAGAACTTTTTTTACGTTTGAACTTTACGTACAGGTAATCTTTACTATCTAAATTAAAATGTTTGGGTCTTTAATTGCTGTTTCGTAACCAGTTTCTTTCCTAATAGCAGAGTAAAAATCGTTCACTTTAGTTTCGCGTAACAATTGCCTAAGCTCCATTAAGTTTACTTGTCTCTCCAGTTCCGTTTCGTGTAGAGGATCGACGTCTTTAATTAATTCATTGACACTAACCAACCCTGGGTAGCCAAGGCGCCGCTAGACACCACGGTCAATTTCAACGCGTCTTTAACTGTAAATTTATTTAGATCTGGCGGTTTAATTTCAAATAGCTTACTCGACAACATCGCGTAACCCATGGAAATGGCTGAGACCACGACACCGTGATAAACCGTGTTTGCGATTCCGTTTACGTGGATTGATTTAGCGTTACTCATTTTTATTATTCAGTATTTTAACATTTATTCCATATCTAAAATTTTTCGGTTTTTGAATGAAATAATTTACTGGCGGTTCTGTGTTTAAAATCAACTTACTAAATTTAACGTCACGTAAATGTTTTTTAATCTGTTCTCTTTTTTCATCGGATACCACATCGTTCTCGGTTAAACATTGATCAAATGAATTTCGATCTTTACAACGGAACAAAGCGGTCTATGCCGTGTTCTCTCTGTAGTCTTTTAACACCGAATTATACTTCTGTGTAAGTAACCAACAACTATGGTTATAATGACGCCCACTGAAGGCCATCCTACTTAAATTGCATATATTGCTCCCTTTAGATTTCTTGCCATATTCAATAATTTGATCCGAGGCACAATCATCGATAATAAATAAAGTATTCACGCCGTCAACAAGCTTTTGGTATAAATCAATCGCCTCGTTCAATTCAAATCTTTCACGACCAAGGTCACATAGAAAAATATCGTCGTCGGTATAAATTCACAAACGCTACCTAACGACCACGCTTGGAGGTAATTCTCGCTCGCTTGCTCTTGGAGGTGCACTCGGTGTTTGCTTCACTCGGTCTAATTTGATAGCTTCTGTGGGCTCTTTGTCAATTAAACGCGTGTTTTCCTCGTTTAACAATTTTACGACTCGAGGCAAACGTTCTACCCATTCCACGTTTCGAACGCCTTCATTTAACATTTCTTCCGCGTATTGATGACCAAATAAACGCTAGGCCAATGTACGATTAAATCGCTCCACAATGCCCTGCGACCTATGAACGCCCAGCTCGCCCACTTGGGTTCCGTGTTTCGTCATTAAATTTTTGAAATCGCTTTTAAATTCTGATCCCGAGTCTATCATTATAATTTTAGGCCAAGTCAGAGGTGACCTTTTGTAAATTTTGTTCCTGGCTTCAGACGTTTGCTAAGCCGTTTTACTGGTCAACGGTTCTGCCTCTTTATATCGCGAACCGACGTCTTCTACGGTCAAAGTGTATTTAAACGGTTTTCTTCTAACGCGATCCCAGGGTAAATATAATATATCCATTTGGTGGGCGTAATTAGGGGTGACAGATTCCGATTGCAACGTCATAGGCCGGGTAGTACGCAGGTGCGGGTAAATATATTTGCCAAACGGCTTGCTTTTTTAGCCAGTTTCTAATAACTGATTTGTCTGCACCGGTATTTTCGTGTAAATGGTCGACCGCACTTTCACCTCGCCATTAGCCTTGTGGGCTGTAAAATAATTTTGAAAATTCTCGCTCCATTCTAAAGTAATATAAAATAAAATGGCGAGTGCTTTAATGATGGTAGGAGGAGCTACAGTAAATTCGTTAGCGTTCACCACCTTTGTTACCCGGGCGAGCAAGAGGGTGGAACCGTCAGAAGGGCAACAGATCCCGTCTGGTCCGTTGACGTGTATCAAATTGACAAACGCACGAGCCAATTTAAACGAGTCAATGGAAGGTGGGTAATAACAGGTCCCACTTTATATTATTTATTAAACGGGCCAAATAGAAGTTTCGTCAAAGAAGAGCTTCAGGTTGTACCCGATGACACGGAATTACCACCCAAGAAAGCTTTTTAAACGTAACTGCGCAAAAACCGAATTGAGAGCTTTTTCTTTGTCTTTAAAATTTGAGTTGTTCACCAACTCATCTATGAATGAATCGCAGGGTTCTTTCGGCCGCTTCGCTCGTGTGGACTCTGTTTGTAGGGGTGGGCGTTTTGATTTTGACTTATGTGCAGAGGGTAACGCTTGCTTGGCGCGCTCTAGGTCAGTCGCCTTAAAACCGCGAATTAACGATTGACAATGCCCGTCAGCTAACGTGTCTATGCCATTTGATAATATGTAGCGCTTTGTGTCTATCGGTGACAAACTCAGCTTATTTTGCGTAATTGTGTACACTTGATGTTTATCTGATCTAAATAGCTGCTGTTTAAAATGCTGCACCCGCTCAGATAGGCAAGCTTTTATACCTCTCGTGGGTAAGCCTTTTTTGGGTGACGACTTTTGTCACGCCTTTTGCCTTCTTTAAATTTTGGTCTTCCGTTAAGATCGAGTACATTTTAGGCCTAATGCAAACGACTTCCGAAATGACCCAACCTCCAAATTCGTCTTTCATCTTGCCTATGACTTTTGTTTTTGGAATCGTAAAGTTTCTGATCGGGTGAGTAATTGCTAAAGTCAAATAGTTTACGCTTTTTACTCAAGTAGCCGTTTAAATCGTCAGTTTGAATCTGAACGAGTAAACTCTCCGTATCCGTGTAAAGTAAATTTACTTTATCGTCAAAATTGGATTTTAGTTCGTTGTAGTAAAAATCATACATTAAGGTTTTGGATAGGTCGAGGACGCTTACACCGCAGTAAATGGGCTTATTTAATTTGGTCTTTACTCGATACATTTCCACAAATGAAAGGTTGCACTCTTTAAATGGTACCGTCGATTTGTAATTCGGTTTAAAGGTAAATTTTTTGTACTTATCTGCGTCTTGTAAATCCCTCAATAAATGACGGTCCATTCGGAATCTGACATTTTCCATAGTCTTTCAAAAAACCGAGTTAATCATTAATTTGAAGAAGTCTCTCTCAGATCAGACTTGACTAATTTGCGCAGCTCAGTGTTTTTATCGATGTAGCTTTTCATTCAAGTTTTCGGGTGCCAACGGGAAGTCGTTGTGTTTGTCATGCAAGTCTTGCGGATGGTCTAAAGTGACTTCAAACACGGTATCCACGCGTGTAATTTGGTGGAATTTTATGAATCAACTCGGGAGTAAATTTGTCTAACTTTTAAAGCCACTGAAACTCACCCACGGGTAACGATTGTGACATGGTGCAGCCGTACAAATTGTTGGCGTCCAGGTACATGATGTGCGACTCTGGTTGATTTGAGTTGTAGTCTAGTAAGCTCGGATTGTTCGCCTTTGCATAGCGCTTGGCACCAACGCTTGGTATACCGCCTCGTTTGGCCCTTTCAAAGAACAAGCGCTTGTCTATATTTGTCAATAGTTCTCATGTTATGCCAGAGTAACGATTGTGACATGGTGCAGCCGTACAAATTGTTGGCGTCCAGGTACATGATGTGCGACTCTGGTTGATTTGAGTTGTAGTCTAGTAAGCTCGGATTGTTCGCCTTTGCATAGCGCTTGGCACCAACGCTTGGTATACCGCCTCGTTTGGCCCTTTCAAAGAACAAGCGCTTGTCTATATTTGTCAATAGTTCTCATGTTATGCCAGAGTGCTTCAACAGAGCCTCCCACGACAGCTCGTGACGTGTACTAGTTAACTGGGTCAAGGCCGTAGTTCTGTTTACAGACTTTGCGGAAGTTCTCAAATACACCCACTAGTAGTAACACGTCCGTTTCCACATGTAGGCCTAGGTCGTGGTAGTCGCCTACGGTTTTACAACCAAAAGTGCGCCACACTGTTTGGGCACGGGCGTGTTCTTTCTCGGTTATGGTAGACTGCTTTAGAGAACTGTAAAAACCCGATTGGGGAGGGAGTTGTGGTTCTTCAAATTTATTAAACCAGTCTATGTATTCGTACGGGTAAATTCCCTCTTCTAAAAGCATGGTGTTATTTGGAAACCTTTCGCGAAGTAAGTTAAAACCCTCTGGTGAACAATTTTTAACCAGTCGATCTAGCGAAGCCGCCATGAAATGAAACGAGTCTGAGAACCTAAGTTGACCAAACAAAAACAAAATGTAGTTTTCTGAGTTTTTAGCGATTAATGTTATTTCTTCCCCTTTAAACTCGTGGGCTCCCTGCATGATTAAATGTGCGTCGTATTTCTCCAAATTGTGTAAAATCACTGGAATAAACGTTTGATACGGGACGACTTTTAACTTTAGGTTACCGTTTGTGTGCGCGGGGCCTCGATACTTACACGTCACTTGACAATGATCTCTAACATTTCTAAACATGTTGATAGGCTTTATGCATGTCATACAAATAAACTCTTTCAAACCAGTGTGGTTTGTAGTACTGTCAATTGACTGTGTGGTTCTTGTTGGTATAGTGCACATATTTTATAGAAAGGCATTTTCAGGAATAGGGCCTGACAATAAAAGGTGAGCGGCGAGCTTTTGGAACCCTCCCGCCTATGGGGATTCTACTTTAGGCCATCCTATCACGTTCGATAATTTTTGGGAAAATAATTCCCAGCTGAAACCACCCCATGAGACACTCATGTTGGGATTTTAGCTTTATCTTCCTCAAGTAATATTTTGGACCTTTAGAATGATTTTTGGACGATATCGTACCAAGGCCTCCTTGTTGATGTTCGTTTGTTTTCACTTCCGTGCTTACGTGAAAACGAGATTGTACAAAGTTGCAAAGATTTACCTACCTGCGGTTGATGGATTCCATTAAGTTGACATCACGCAGTTGTTGTCAGTTAAGGTTATATAAAATATTCGAATTTTCTTAAAAGTAAATTATAAGTTTATTACTGTAGGGATCTGGGAATTCCCCGTTAATTCAGCGAATTGTGTGACCTTTGAACCTTGGGCACGTCTTTAAGGCGTGATTGGCCCACGTGGGTGCACAGAATGTACAGTACAAGTATTCTCTGTAAGTCTTGCCTCTCGGCCGGAAGTGGCCTACAATGTGATGCTTTTTGGCGGCAATGAAGTTGGGCGAGTTTCCCAAGTTTTTTCGGGAAAGCGGGAGGTGCTGTGGGAGACGACTGGGTGAATGGACGTTGTGATGGCTCGGCCGGGAATCACATAGATAAGCACCGGTTTAATTGTCCAAGCAGTTGTGATTATAAAAGAAATCCTGTCCGCTTGAACACCCAAGTCTTTCAGTGTCTGCTGAACTTTCTTTTTGTCTGCCTGGCCTCCAATTCCCCCTTCAGTGGCGGACGGACCGCCGCCCCCGAGCGATCGGCCAGGGGGCCGGACCGCTACATTACCTTATAAATTAAAAAGGTTTCTGTTTTTATTTTGGCTTTACCGACAGACTACCACAAAATTAAACTGTAAATTTTTACCTGTATACGAGACCGCTACATTGAATTGTTTCTTCCCTTTTTTAATTTTTTGAAGTGATGGCTCAACTTTTGGCAGGATATTACTTTTTTAATCAGGTAATTTTTCAGTTTCAATAAATTGATATACTGGCAAATATTTTGAAAGGTCCTTTTCTCAGTTGGAATTTTAAAAGTAACTGAAGTGCACCGTCAAGGGTTACTACCTTTCAAGCTCTGTTGACAACTTTTTTTTTAATCTCATTTGGAAAAGCTTCATTTTTTGGTGCGTCTGAGGTATGGTTTTCCAATACCTCAAAAGCAAAAGCCTTGCATATTTCCATAAGCATAACCTGAATCGTCGAGTTTATCTAACTTAATTATGTCCTTCATTGATCGTTTTGTTGAAAGCCCTAAGTGTCATGCATAAATATTTCCAAAAAGTGAAGTATATTTTGTCGAAGGGGATATATTTTTCACGTTGGTTTTCAGGAAAATTATTTTTGCAAGTTCCTCGTCAGAAAATATATTTTTGAAGTTTGTTGTTATTATTTTGATTTTTTTTTGAAAATAAATTCAAACTTGAAAATGTTTATCAGATAACTTCGACAAAATGTCTCTAACAAACGTGATACCAAAACTTGGCGAAAAATGATTTATTCTTTATAAAAGACACAATTCTAAAAATTGATCCCATAAGAACGAACTTTGGAAAAACGTTTCTCGTTGAACAAAGCTGAAAATAGACTTTATAAAAACGAACAGGTCTTGTTGTATAAGTTGGAGTTCAATTTTTGGTTTGTCCTTTTGGCTAAGTTTTGTAATAGTTGTGTTATAGTGTGACTTAGAAGGTTAGAGCTGTGTCTGCTGCGGTGTGCGTCTTTTTGTCTGTTTAAACAACAACCCCTAAACCTCATACACCATGACATGAGACTCTGGGGGCTTGGTTGCGGGAAATATTCTCCTTCAATGTGAACGGCTCGCTTCTTTTTGAATCTTTCTCGCACTAATGAGCAAAAAGACGCAGGTGACATTTGACCTGTCCAACCTCGTTCCCTACTGGTATGATCTTGCGGTGCTATTTCCGCCATGCCTTTCGCAATCTTAATGAAAGTTACATTAATACACAAAATAAGCGCACATACAACGCAAAATCGGAGAGAGACACTGTACCACCTGGTGTCGTTCAGGAAGATTGTTGTCGCAAGAGCGTCACTTGAGAATCAAGATCACGACCTCGAGGACAATTTTCTTTTTAACTTTACAAGCGTTGACTGTGTAATTCTTAAAAACCTAAAACAGTATTCAACTTCCAGGCTAATTAGGTCTGAATGTAGCCACTTTGCAAAATAGGTTAACAAGTTGGAGGACTTTGTGAAATTCATCGACTTCAGTGGAAGCCAAAGGTCCTGAAAGCTGGCTTTATTATTGTAGACAACATATGGGAGCAGGGATCTTGCCATTTAGTGGAATGTGCCCGAAAGGTTTGTTCATGTAACCCAGGAAGCTAAGGCTTGGACGGTATGTCTGTCGCAGCCAAGCGTCTGAAAAGTCTCCCATTCGAAGCATTAATAAGACACACAAACTGTTTTGTGTTAACGACTTCGAATTTTAGGGGATAATCGTAGCTGGTTAATTTCCCACCGTGATTCCCACACCTTGGGGTTTCGGTACCTTCTGGTCTTACAGAATGTTTAATTAAAAACCTCAAATTGCAAACCGTTTTATTCTGAAAACAGATGTCCTGCTAGTTCCATTTCGCGACCTAGGTTTAGCCGTTTAAAAAAAACAACAGAGGTGGGAAAATGTCATACATGATAAAGAGTTCCAAATAGGATTTCACACAGATGTTGACCACATTTGACTTTATAATGTAACAAGAAACGGAATTGCAATTATTACTCCTCGTTAGATTTGCAGCAAAGCAGATGTTGATGTAAAGTTTATCTTCACAATTCTGAAATAGGCAATGACTTCCCAATTATATTTCTCTGAACGAAATACTTTCCCACAGTGAATACTTTTCGTGCTCTATGTGCGTATAAAGGACTAAAGTAGATTGAATCGTTTACCCTAGACCCCTTTTTGTCAGATCTACATCATCCGTAAAAGAAAACAGCGTTTTCAGCAAGTGAGGTGTTACATATACAGTCCCTTTAAAAATTCAAGTGCTTCAGTTGAAAGGAAAACATTTCAAAAACTGAAATTTTAGGGATGATACATGTAAAACATTGCCCTATAACAGAACTGGTTAGGCAGTGGACATTATGAGCTACGAATGAGGTTGTTATTTCAAATTTGAAAACGCACCTTTTATTTTCCAATTGACTGAACCATAAGGACCGTTCATGTTTGCTGCAACTTTAAGGCGTTGAAAGGCTGGACTTTCAGATTCACCAGGGACACTTGTTCTCAGCACTTTACAAGCCACAGCATAGTGATACTTTCGAGTGGTTTTTCTGTTTCTTACCTCTTTGTAGCCCGTTCCTTGCTTGGTATTGTGACGTGACAGAGGGCGCTAGTCACTTGGCACGGTGCAAAGTTATAGCTGGTGCTAGATCAGCTCGACTAGGCTTAGCCTACGCGCGCCTTTTATAGCTTTCGCGCTGCCCTGACCACGCCCGCGCACGCGCTCACGTGACCAAGCATTGACTTCCGTTACTCTATCGAGCGCGCTCTGCCCAGTAACAGAGGCAGATGTAAGGCGCCCATAGCTGTGTGTTAAGCAAGCGCAGCGCATAGGCTCCGCCTTGTGCGTTGTGCGATAGAGTAACGGAAGTCAATGCTTGGTCACGTGAGCGCGTGCGCGGGCGTGGTCAGGGCAGCGCGAAAGCTATAAAAGGCGCGCGTAGGCTAAGCCTAGTCGAGCTGATCAAGGGCTGGTCCTGAGGTAATAGTCGGGAATCCTGTGCAAGGGTTAAAGTCACCTAGCCTAGTGTGACTGTGCCTAAGTCCGAGTGGTGCGTGTGTTGTTGAGGGGCTCGGTAGGTTGAGGGGCTGATTGGTGTTGCGGTATTGTTCCTGATAGGAGCTTGCGGTCGATGCAAGGGTGGATTGCTATCTCGTGACGTGAGTTGCGTGTAGCACAGCCCTGACAATAAGCCCCGTAGACTTGCTAAAGTTCCTGATTCGGCACTGGATGCACACAACTAATTGTGGTGTTCGCTGCTCTGGGCAAAGTCCGGTCACGTATAATTACAGTCTCCCCGTCAATAGTGCCCTCTACTGGTGTATTGGTTGAGTGTGTTGATGAATAAACCAGCCGCTTATTAATTGTATATATAAGTATATATTGTATGTATATAAGTCAGGAGTCCAGGCGAAGTTTATTTCAAGTCAGGTCTGTCCAGGTTACGTCATTAAGTTTCGACCAATTAGATTAGCCATCATCTCGATGAAGACCAACTTTCTTGGGGGACGGTATACTTCGGTCCCAACGGACTCGTCCCTAGCCGCTCAGGGACTCTCCGGCGTGCCGTCCGACGCGCCGCGCCTCGAGGAGGAGGGCGCCCTTGCCTTCGTCGGAGGGGCGCGGCGTCACAGTATATATAGCCTGTATGCCAAAACGAAACTGAGAAAAACATACACTTGCGCAATAATATTGAAATCACCATCTGGATACAGTGAAGATGACAACATCCGACTAAACCGATGATAAAACCACGGGCGGAAGTAATTCAGCTCTATGCACAAGTCTCAGTTAAGCTAAGCCTAAGCTCAAGACCGCTAATTAAATCACGATGTACTTGCCTAAACCTCTGTCCCTACAAATTTTTTGTACATGAACTTCCGCTTGTGCAAGTCTTACAGTTTGTAATATTTAAACGAAATGTCGTAAAAACTCTGATTAAATTGAGCATATAGGTGGATTCATTGTTTATGACACGGTAGTAAACTGTCTGGAATCTGTATATGCATGTGGAAAGATAATAACAGAGTTTGTATACTTCCTACAGGAGTCATTCTTGAAATAACTACTAAGAGGTTGAACAGAAATTGTAAAACGGCGGGACTTTTTTCTAATCTGTTCCTCAGAGATAAAAGTCAGAAAAATAATGCTTCCGTAAGCATTACAAAGGTTACTGTAACTAAATAAACCTGACGTAGAGCGGAGTGGCTCCCATGGGGATCCAATTTTTTCTAATGACGTAATTAAAAAAAAATCGGCCAAATGCAAAAACCTTC